GCTGATCGTAAGCTCTGGCTGTTGTTCATCGACAATGTCCTCATCAACGGGCGCCTCCATGTCCTCCATGTCGTCCACATCATCGCCAACCGGTGCTTCACTGCCAGTCCCTCGAGAATTGCTGTCATACTCGTCGTCGACCCCGTCATCCATATCCGTCGGCATACCGGAGCTGGTAGTGGGCGCCGGCTGTTCACCACCAATCTCAACGATGCGTACCCTATGCGGGCACAGGTGCTGGTTATGTATGTGTCTCTTAATGGACGTATGGCTACGGGTGACGAACTTGCACTCCGGGAACGAGCACTGATACCACTGGCTGTCCCGTATGACCACCCGTTTCCTGAACCGATTGATACTCTGATTACTGCACGGGTTGTGCGCCGGCATTGCCTTCCCATTAAGGATACCGAAGCCGCACAAGTGGTTGAGTTCGTGCTGTCGGAGTGCATTGGGATCCAAATAAATCCTGGGACAGCCTATCACATGGCACGGGAACCGGCGGGTCCTGATGTGCACGATATTCAGATGCCGGGCAATGGCTTGCGTACGGTTTGCACTGAAAGTGCAGGGGTTGGCGCACGGGTAGCGACACACATAACGCTTCTCGACGGCGCCCTCCCGGCCCTCCGTCACCGACATCTGGATGTATTGCTTGAGATTCCTGACGGACGCCAACCCCACGTAATTCCTGTCGAACCGGTGGTCCTGTTTCTCGTGCCGATTGATACTCCGGTCGGTAAGCCTTTCCACGGCATATGACTTCTTCTTGTATTTCTGTTTGATTTGTTTGGACGCCGCTGTCGGTCGGGAAATGGATGTCATCTTTGGTGCGCTCGCAGGGAAGTGGCGCCTCCGATGCAGTACAAGTGCACTGGAATAGGGGAACGCCTTTCCGCACCCATTAAACGTACACTTGAATCGTTTGCTACCCGGTTGGCCGGTTAGCGCACCTCTCGGCGCCGTTTGGACAGACATTTGACTCGATTGCTGCGACGGATGCCATACCTCCGGACCCACTGCTCGCCCACCACCCGATGAATGGCTACTATTCTCATCGGACACACCATTCATGTCATCATTCATATCGTCATCACTCGGCGGGCACTCTGACGGTGCGTTACGACTGTCGGCCTTATAGGGACAGACATGTTGGCCGTGGATATGGTCTTTGATAGATGAGGAGCTGTTCGTCACAAACTCGCAGTCAGGGAACAGACAGTTATAGGCAGTGCTCCCGTCGGTGGTCACGATATTGCGGTACTGATAGATGTTTTCATTACCGCAAACACCCATCAAGTCCTTCACAATACTATATCCGCAGCGATGGTAGTGCTCGTGTGTCCTGAGCCGCCCGGGAGTGCCGTACTCGCGCTGACACCCCCTGCGACGGCACCGGTATCTCTGGCTCTTCAGGTGCTCGAAGTTGATGTGTTTGGCGATCACTCGCGAGTTGAATGTCTTGTATTTACACGACTGGTTGTACCGACACGTGAAGGACTTCTGGTGATTGGCCGCCACTCTCACCGCGTAATAGTTGAGTCGAAGCAGTTCCGGAAGACCTATGAAATTACCATTCGATTCGCACTTCGGGGTCACCATCTGATTGTCAACTAATCCACCACTAGAAGTCTGGGCCACCGGTTTGTGGCCATTAATCGCGTGACACCTTCGATGCAAACTCAACGCCTTATACGTCGCGAATGTCTTGTGGCAGCCATTCACTGGACATCGATGTCGACTCACATTTGGAATGGCGTTATCTATCACTTCGGCGAACGCCTCTTCGGACACCAATTCGCCGCAAAGCGGTTCCACGACATCATCCCTGTCCTCATAGCCACCGCCACCGACCGACACATCCCGGCCCCCAGCGGTGTCACCACTCACGCCAAACTCAGCGACAGTGATAGCCGGGCTAGTAGTGGCGGCTCTCACGTGATGCGGACAGACGTGTCGGTTGTGGATGTGATCCCTGATCGGCCTCTCTCTGAACGCCCAAAACAAACAGCTGCCGGCGCTGTAAGTGCACCGGTATTTCTTGTCGTTCGTGTTCGAGTCGACGTACGCCTCCCAATAGGTGTTGAGGTGGGCGTTACCGCACGGGCCGTCCATAGCGTCGCCGTCCTCTATGCCATACCCGCACCGGTGGTCCAATAGGTGTTGCCTTAGTTTGCACTCTGAGTGGAACAGGCGTTCGCAGCCCTCGTGAGTGCACTCCAACTTGACGGGAACGGGCGTCGAGTGCCGGTGCTTCGGGCGTCGGGTGTAGTCCACATCGTCGCTGCCTTTCCGCTTACGACTGCTTTTGGGCGGCGTTTTAGGCAACGGTTCGTACATTTGGATGAGTTTTGGTGCCGTTTGGGCACCGACTACACTCTCACTCGGCTTATATTCGGGAGACGACTGTCCACTGGGTGTACGCACACTACTACTCCACGCGCCGGTAGTCACGGGTTCCTCAACTCTCGCCATATCGACAGCACCGGTAGGTACGCCTGTTTGCGAGTCGCACACCAGCACTCGAACACGATTAGGGCACAAGTGCTGGCCGTGGATGTGCTCCTTAATCGACATGTGGTTATGGGTTCGGAACTGGCAGTCCATATACGCGCACCGGTAGTACGGCTTCCCCTCCTCGATCACTCGCATACGGAACCTATTAATACTGCGATTGCCGCACACGGTGTTCATATGCCTACCGTTCCCCATACCAAACCCGCAGCCGTGGTTCACTTGATGCCGGCGCAGGGCGTTGGGGTCGTAGTACACGGCCTGACAGCCCGGCTCCCGACAGGGGAACCGGCGGTTCTTGATGTGCACGCAGTGTATGTGTCGGGCGATCCCTTGCGTGCCTTTGCTCTTGAATTGGCACAACTCGGTGTACGCGCAGTGATACTCCCGGTGCCCCTCCACGGCCACCTCCATGCGTATGAAGTGCTTGAGATTCTTAATCGACTGCAAACCGCTGTAATTGCGGTCATACCGGTGCGACTGCTTCTGGTGCCGGTAGATGTTTCGGTCGCCTATCCGGTGCACTTCGACTACCTGTCCGTCCGACCCTCTCATCACTGTCTTACCCTTCGGTGGGCCGGCGTTTGATCTCTCGATGGCTCTCAACAGCGAGGACTGGTATCTCTGCTGCAAAAACCTATTGTTCGTATTGACTGATGGCTGAAAGCGGTGCTGCGATGCCTGTCCCCTACCGACAGCCGCTCTCGATGTGGTCAACCCTCGAGAGCTCTTTGTATTTAAGACTCTGTGAGTATTGTTGGCAGTAGTGGTGGTTGTGGTGGTGGCCGGGGATCTGACTGCTGATGGCAGGCGCTGACCATTCGTACGAACCGCTGACCTCTTGTTCGGTGACCGAGTGGTCGACGCCATCCGCGGCGGCCATTCCTCTGCGTCTATAATCTCTTGGCGTATGTCGTCTTCGCTGCCATTCATCGCGTCGTTTGACTCGTCGGACAATCGCTGAGTCTTATCGCTCGCCAGCGAACTACTACTCGCCCTCCCTGTCCGGTACGGACACACGTGTTGGCCGTGTATGTGATCCCTGATGGACGACGAGCTCTTAGTCTTGAACCGGCAGCCGGTGAACACACACTTGAATAGACTACCGGTGCCTTTGGGGACAGTCACGCGATACTTATAGATGTTTTCATTGCCGCACCGACCGGTCAACTCATCCCCATTGATGATACTATAGCCGCACCGGTGATTATTCTCGTGCGTCTGTAGGCGACTGGCGCTGGCGTACACTTTGTCGCAGTCGGCCCGCGAGCACTGGTAGCTCCGGGAGCCCATGTGCTTGAAGTTGATGTGTCGGGCCATCTCTTTGGGGCTCTTAGTCTCGTGTTTGCAGAGGGAGTGGTCGTAGAGGCAGACGTACCATCGCTGCTGATCAGCCGTCACTCGCGCGCCGTAATAGCCTTTCCTCTTAAGCTCCGGTAGCCCTGCAAGAAGACCCCTATTCTTCGTCTTAAGGCTATCATTGGAGCGCTTCCGGCGCTTAAGTCTCTGCGGTGTCCGCGCACTCACTGTCTGTCTATGGCTGCCAATCGTTGCACGGCTTTCAGCGATCAGTTGGTCCGCGGATTCACTGTCTGACTGACTGTCCATTGGATCCACTGATTCAGACATAGACTGGTTGTCCATGCGATCCACTGATTCACTGTCTGACTGACAGTCGATCGGATCCGTGTCTCGATTGGCGCCCACACTCTCCTCGACGGTGTCCTCGTCGTCAGCCATGTCTTCGGCGACCACTCGACGGGAGTAACCATTAAGTGTCGCACAGTTGTGCGCATCGCTTTCATCACCACCACTGGATCCCTGTGTCCCCACTGACTGGCAACCACTCCTATCAACGCCAACCTCAGCGCCAATCTCTTTGTGTAACTCTTTGGCGGCGGCGCTAAACTGTCTCAACCTCTTCGCCAACGAATCAGTAGATAAGGACTTCGATGACGACGACGACTGCTGTTGAGGTGGTGTCGAGTCCACGGTCTTGAGCCTCGGATCACTCGCTAAGTGGGCTAACCAGAGGTCGTAGTGTTTGTCCCTCAAGTGGTGGACAATGTCTGCTTCTGTGGTGTCGATGTGATCGCATTTATTACACATAAACCAGTTCTTGGCGTTTATGGCGATCGAGTCGTACAACAGGTCCGGGCGGTCGCTGTTGTGGTCATCGCCCGCGACCGACATGTTGTGTCTGAGTGTGTGTTGTCGCGTGTGTTCACGTCATCGGCGGTTAACTACGAGATAATCGGTGTCTTAAACGCGCGCTTCAAGTGATTGACACCAAAAACAACACAAAAATAAGTAAACAAACGATTCATTCATCCATTGAACCGAACACTGGATTACTGTAAAGCCATAGACGGTGTCCACGAATAACGTACACAAATAGTGTGCGTGTGATTGGCCTTCATTGCATAGACTTAGCGTTGAGGCCAATGGTAAGGTGTGTGTAAGGGGTGCGCAAAGTGTGGCACATTATGTATGGTTTGTGCGAGTATTTCGTCATTTGTATGCAAAATAAAATCTGATTTTTCAATGATTTTCAGTGAGTTTTTGGGTTTTATTTTTTGCCTATAGTTTGCTACAGACGTAAGCCTTACGTCACACACGCATTGCGTTTACGCTTTTAATGCTAAGCCTATGGGAAAAGTTTTATCGCGTTTTTGCGCATACTTTATAATCGCATGCATTTCTAATGGTGTGATTAGTTGGCATTTATTATGCCATAGATTTTATTATGAATGCAATTTTATTATAGATATATTTTTATTTATTGTAGTATACTTCGTATGAAAAGTTATAGAAAGTTATAAAAAGTTTTTATTTTAAGGTTTTTCACGCTATTTAATTATAAGTTATGAGTGTTTGTAATTGATTTTATCGATAGTTACAGTATGTAGGCATTCATTAGTGCGAAATAGTATTTAAAAGTAATTATTTATCTATATTTCATTTACAATGCGTTAACGAGAAGTGTTATTCAGTTAATTAAATAAAATAAACTGGATTATACTCGTCTGGTATGGTATAATAGGACTGCCCAGGTCCAGTAATCTAGCGGAATGTCCTTGGTGTCCAAATCGGTGATTATATCGGTCGATGCGCTATACATTTTTGCTATAAAATCCTATTAAACTACTCATTCTATATGAGTCAGAGTTTCAATACTATGAATGAGTGTATTCCACAGCAAAAAGTATAGTTTTTATAGCGCGGCGACCGATATAATCACCGATTTGGACACCTAGGACATTCCGCTAGATTACCGGACCTGGACAGTCCTATTCTACCATACCATACGAGTATAATACAGTTTATTTTATTTAATTAACTAAATAACACTTCTCGTTAACGCATTGTAAGTATTAAATATGCTTTAGAATACATGTTATATGTATGCGTAAAGTAAAAGTAAAAATAATGAGGTTAACTAAACGTATGATTTTATAGCAAGGTATTAATGCCAAAACAGTACTATATTGTATGTGAATATTAAGCTGAGTTTAATTACACTACTATTGCATCATTATTACCGCATATAAATAATGTTGAAATAATCAGGATTGAGTAATTGATAAATTTATCAAATAACATTGGCCACACTACCCAGGTTACGTTTATTTATGAATAGCGATTGTTTAGGTGCCGATGACGTGTACCTTGGTTATTTGCCGTTAGCGCACGTACAGGAGATGTCGGCGGAAATGTTTTTCATATCGATCGGCATGACTGTGGGCTACGGATCGCCACTGACTTTGACCAATAAGTCTACGGGCGTTAAGGCGGGCGTAAAGGGCGACGTGACGTGCCTTAGGCCGACCGTTATGCTTGCGGTGCCCCTAATTCTGGATCGACTGGGGAAAGGGATTAGGGAACAGGTGGCTACCGGTTCATTTGTTGCGAGGGCATTATTTAAGTTTGCCATTGACTATAAAACGCGCTATAATAAACTTGGCTACACTACCGTGAGTAGCATGGTATTTTATTTAGTTAATAGGGTGACCAATCAAGTTTTTAAAAATCCTGTATGTTTGTAGCCAATCGTGGATCGTG